TCTCTCTCTCTCTCTCGGGGGGGAAGGGGGGGCGCGCCCCCGCGCCCGGGGAGCAAGCGGGCCCGGGCAAGGCAGCTGGCGGCGGCTCCCCGGCGCGAAACCACGCCGGCCCTCGCGCAACAAGAACGCCCGAACGTTAGGAGGCCAAGGAGGAGGAGGGGGAGGATGAAGCAGGGGCAAGGAACGGGGGCGGTGGGAAGGCGGCGGTCGCGGCGGTGGACGTGATGGTCGTAAAGGACGCGGGGGCGGCGGCCGCGGCGGCGGCCGGAGCGGTCGCGGCGGTCGTAGTGGTCGCGGCTCCGGTCGTCGTCGTCGCCGTGGCCGCCCGCATCGGTCGTCGCAGTGGCCGCGACGGTAGGCGAGCGTAGTGGTGGTGGGCGTGGTTGTCGCAGTGGTCGTTGGGCGGCGGTCGTGGTGGTGGTCGTGGTGGTCGCAGTGGGCGTGGGGCGGGCGTGCTAATGGTCGCCGCGGTGGTGTCGGTGGTCCAGTCGGAGCCGGTGAATTGCTCACGTCGCACTCAGCACCATTTCAGCGTTGCCGAACGCGAGGCACCGCTGAATCTTGGCCCACGTTGTTGAGATCACAGCGGACCGGTCGGCATCCGGAAGCCCCGGCCGCAGGGGCGCACGAAGGCGACCAGCTCGTCCGCCGGCCGGCCCCCAGTCTCCAAGACGGCTGGGATGAGTTCCCCTCCGGCGGGGGGGTAGCGCGCCCGCTGTCTGTCGACTGCCTGAGCCGCCGCCGCCCCGTCCGTGCGAGCCCTGGCCTGCCTGCGAGCGCTGTTGTCGCTGTGTTCGCAGGTGACAGACCAGTCCAGGGCGTTGGTAGCGGGGTCGCGCGTGGCCACGTCGAGGATGGCCCCCCCCCAGGCTCCAGTGTCGGGGCGCTGGCGGCCTCAAGCAGGGGCTCGCTGCTCGGTCGTGGCCCTGCGGCCCGTCTGAGCGCAGTGCCAGGGCCCGCCCCAGTCGCGCAGGGAGTTGTGCCTGTAGTCCCTGCTGCCCCCGCGCCCGCACTTCCGGGCGCGCCAGCCTTTGGCGTGCTTCCCCGCAAAGCGAGCCGTCCATTTTGCGGCGCTGACAGCGCGAGCCCGGGGCGCGCACGTCGCAGCAAAGACGCGTGCGCAAGTTGGCCAGGAAGTGGTTGTCTGGGAAGGGCGCGTCGCCCTCCTCGCGCGGCAGGAGCCGGGCCCCCGCCCCGGGGCCTCTGGCACCGCGCAGAGCGAGTTGGCCGCCCTCGTCTAGCGCCCGGAGGAGCCGCGCTCTTTTGGCGAAGGAGGTCCTCTTCCCCCAGGTCTCTCTCCCCACCCCCATGTGCCCCCTGGAACCTCGCCGACCTTCCTTCTGTCTCCGCCCCTGCGCTGGCCGCCCTGCAGACCGCTTCCGACCCGCTATGCCATATCCCCCGAAGGTCTCGCGTCATCGCGCTCCTCGCGACTCGCTCTGCGAGCTGCGTCGTAGAGCAGCCGCAGAACTCGGTCATGTATCTCTCTAAATCTTTATGTATATATATATATATACATATACGCGCTCGCGCGGGGTTGTAGCCGCCCTGGACGTGGCGGGCGCGCGCCGCGTGACGTCCTGGATTGGGGCGTTCGGCGGAGATGCGCATAAGCCGTTGGGTCCGCGCGGCGCTGCGCCGTTTTTGGGAGACCTCGCGCGATCGAGGGCAGATGCAGATGCAACACTTGGAGATCGGAGGCGGGCGCTCACGCGGACCCCCCATCGCCGAGATGGCGCCGCGGCAACTTTTTTACCAAACAGCCTTTGCTGATAGGTTTCTATAGCGGGCTCAAAAGAGGCATGCAGCGCGTCCACGGCGATTTTGGGAGGCATACCTGCCGCGCAGGTCGGGCGGTGCTCTGAAGTAGGACTACAGGGGCGCGCCTGCGCGAAAGCGCAGGCGCGCCAAGCCGGCTTCAGCCGAAGTGTTTACAGTCCTTGACAAGATACGAGCTCCCACCCCCAGCGCACCCCCTGTGGCGTCGAGGAAATGCCACGCCTGCCACGCCCTGCGAGCCTGCAACGCATAGGACCCCCACCCCCAGCGCACCCCCTGTGGCGGCCAGGAAATGCCACGCCTGCCACGCCCTGGAAGCCTGCAACGCATAGGGCCCCCATCCCCAGCGCGCCCCCTGCGGCGTCGAGGGGGCGCCGCGCCTTCCACGCCCTGGGAGCCTGCAACGCATAGGGCCCCCCCCCCCCAGCGCACCCCCTGCGGCGTCGAGGAAATGCCGCGCCTGCCACGCCCTGGGGCCCTGCAACGCATAGGGCGCCCACCCCCGGCGCACCCCCTGTGGCGCCCAGGAAATGCCACGCCTGCCACGCCCTGGGGGCCTGCAGCGCATAGGGCCCCCACCCCCAGCACACCCCCTGTGGCGTCGAAGGAATGCCACGCCTGCCACGCCCTGGGAGCCTGCAACGCATAGGGCCCCCACCCCCAGCGCACCCCCTGTGGCGTCGAAGGAATGCCACGCCTGCCACGCCCTGGGAGCCTGCAACGCCTAGGGCCCCCACCCTCAGCGCACCCCCTGTGGCGTCGAGGAAATGCAACACCTGCCGCGCCCTGGGAGTATGCAACGCATAGGGCCCCCACCCCCAGCGCGCCCCCTGCGGCGTCGAAGGAATGCCACGCCTGCCACGCCCTGGGAGCCTGCAACGCATGGGGCCCCCCACCCCCAGCGCACCCCCTGTGGCTAAGAGGAAAGGTCACGCCTGCCACGACCGTCTTGCATAGCGGCCGAGCTCAGGGGCCACCCCCTGCGCACCCCCTGTGGCGTCGAGAAACTGCCTCTTGCCGTCGTCGTTCATCTCCGAGTACCTCGCGTAGAGCGTATCGAGCCACCAATTGTGAAGCTGGCGGTGGTGCGCATTCAAAGCGGACTGCACCACTCCGCTGGCACATCTGCGGGAGGTCTCCACGCTAACCTCGCCGCCCATCTGAACCATTGCAGTCTTCATCGCCAAACATGGAGGTGGCAGCGCGTCCACGGCGATTTTGGGAGGCATACCTGCCGCGCAGGTCGGGCGGTGCTCTGAAGTAGGACTACAGGGGCGCGCCTGCGCGAGAGCGCAGGCGCGCCGAGCCGGCTTCAGCCAAGGTGTTTACAGTCCTTGACAAGATACGAGCTCCCACCCCCAGCGCACCCCCTGTGGCGTCGAGGAAATGCCACGCCTGCCACGCCCTGGAAGCCTGCAACGCATAAGGCCCCCACCCCCAGCGCACCCCTGTGGCTAAGAGGAAATGCAACGCCTGCCACGCCCTGGGAACCTGCAACGCATAGGGCCCCCACCCTCAGCGCACCCCCTGTGGCGTCGAAGGAACGCCACGCCTGCCGCGCCCTGGGAGCCTGGAACGCACAGGGCCGCCACCCCCAGCGCACCCCCTGTGGCTAAGAGGAAATGTCACGCCTGCCACGACCGTCTTGCATAGCGGCCGAGCTCAGGGACCACCCCCTGTGCACCCCCTGCGGCGTCGAGAAAGTGCCACGCCTGCTGTGCCTGGACGACCGTCGTGCATAGCGGCCGCGCTCAGGGACCACCCCCTGCGCACCCCCTTATGGTGTCGAGAAAGTGTCACGCCTGCTGTGCCTGGACGACCGTCGCGCATAGCGGCCGAGCTCAGGGACCACCCCCTGCGCTGACCCAACACCACAGGATGGTTGGGAAAAAACAAGATAGATAGATAGCGAGAAAGAGAGATAGAAAATTATATAAACAAATTAGAGAAGTAAAGAAGCATGGGGGATGAGGAACGAGGGCACGCGCGACGGCAGGCGAGGGAGCGAAGGCGTGAAAGAAGGATGGGTAGGGACGGAAGTCGAACATTACGCAGCACATCCTGAAATGGCTGCCCTCACAATTCGCTGTTTTAGAACGCGCGTTGGCCGTGGCCTTTGCCCTGCGAGGCGCGTGTCACTTGTGGCTGGCATGGCGGTCGCTCGAAGGGGCGCGACGGCGGTTCCGCGAGTTGAAGCCGTCGATGCCGGCTGTGGCATATTGGTCGATCCACGACGTCACCTCCGCGCGGGGCGTGCGTGCGTGCGCGTGCGTGTGTGTGTGTGTGCGTATAAGAAATATCCAGTTTAGACCATGCAGCGCTCATGCTACTCTAACTGCCCAGTGCCTGCCTCCAGCCTCTTGAACGCGGCGATGGCGCCGCGTTTGGCGCGCTGTGCTCTGTGGCGGCGGGCTCGGTCAAAACCAACACAACCACGCACGTGTCACTAGAGATAACACAACAAACCTTTGTTCATATGTGCTGCAATATTTCTCGACGGTGGGGTTTGTGACACTTCTGCGCAATAGGCAGCACTAGCGCAATCGTTGCGCACATAATCGATACCATGGTCATTTTAAAGCACGCAACGACTGCACGACAGCGTTACCAAATAAGAATACAAGCATGGCCGCTACAACCAGGCGAGAACACGTGCATACTGCTTGCGTGGAACACACGTAATTAGTTAGCATTACAAGCTTAAGCACTTGCAATGCTACATAGCACCTCGTTCATCCGCTATGTTGTGATGTCGTTCCGCCTCGGTGCACGGATGCATTCGTTTAGTCGGCTTCAACGTGCTATGCGCGCGAGCATGGACGGTTCAACGTAGTCGATCCGGCCATCCTCTGGGCGCCAGCTTCTGGGCCCGGCGGGTTAAGCCCGAAACCTTCTGGGCAACCCCAAATATTCTTAACGGGCGGCCGCGTGCCCCGGACTCCTCAGGCCATCTGGGGCCGCGGCGCTGCCCCCCCCCCAATCCTAGCTCCCCCCCCCGCCCTGTCCCAGCTTTGCCCGTCGCACTTGGAGGTCTAGGCCCCCGCCTCAAGGCCCCTCATTGCCCTCTCGCTCGCGGCTCGCCCGAGCTCGCCGCGTGACAGATGTCGCCCGAGAGAGCCTGGCAGCGCAGATGTGGTGTCCGAGACCCGAATCCGATGGCGTCCTCGTGGGATCAGGAACTCTCGAGACTTGGATCCCGCTCGCGCGAGAGCGAGGCCGACTCAGAAGTCGGACAGCTCCGAGCCCGCGCGGACTTCGCGGCCCCAGCCGAGGTGTTCGCTCACCTGGTCCAAGAAGGCCTCGACTCCTAGAAGCCGATCCCAAATTCCCCTGCCGCGCCCAGGGGCCGACGGGCCCCCCCGGGCGACTCGGCCCCCTGGAAGAGGTCACCGAAGGATGCTTCAAAACTAGGGGCAAAACAAAACGACCTCGCTTTTGACCACCCTCGCTTCCAAGAGATACCAAGCGATGCCAAGCCGCGGCCTGTACTGGTCAGGCCGCTTGACGAGGAGGCGCGCGGCATGACTTGGTTTTGCTTCGGTAATTCGCGCTCTGAAAAACCAAAGCCTGGATTTCAGGGCCCGCCCCGAGCCTTCGAATGAGCTTCGTCCGAGCGGGTTCGGGCCGCTGCTCTAGGGCCACCCAAGTGCTTAGAAGGGAAGTGGCATGCCCTCCTCGTCGCGGGCTGCCCGCGCCCCCTCCCGGGACTGCCGGCGGGCCCGCCTCTGCCTGTCGGAGCCTGGCCACCAACCTCGCGATGCCCTGGTCGGGTCGGTCAGTTGAATCGAGAACAACTGCTGGGAAGACAGGGGCGCGGAGGTGACGAGGTTCTCCTGGGCGGCTGCCAGCTGCTCGGCCATCGCATGCATCTGGCCCAGCAGCGTCTTCATCTGGTTCACGTGGGGCTCGGACGTAGACGCGCTCTTCCGCGGCCCCAGGGATGGCGGGCTCCTGGCGCGCGTCGGGCGCAGACCCGGAGACGGTAATTAGTGCTGCTGGTGGAGGCGGCATCACCATCGCCCGCTGAGTGGGCGTCATCATCTGGTAGTGTATGTGCCGACGACTGGATGAGCTGCGAGGAGCTATTGGCTCGGGGGGGTCGCGATGCGCCGGCTGCGCGAGCCACGGATCCCCCTCCAGGCAGGCCCCCGACAGCCGCTTCGCCTCGCCCTTCATCTGGATGCCGACCACCTTCTTGATAATCCTCGCGCGCTTCTTGGCCTCGGCAGCGGCCTTCTCCCCTGGGGTCTTGTCCCGCAGCGACCGGCGGGTCTTGCGCGTGCGACAATGAGAATGCACGCCCGTGCCGTTGGCAGCCCCCTGCGTCGCCCGCCGTGGACGCAGGCAGGACATCTGGTCGGCGAACTTTACCGCCGTGGCTGGCGAGAGCGCCGCGACCCCGTTCGTCTGACTGCGCACAGTCGCAAAATTGAGAAAGCGAAGAACCATCGTGCTCCACTTCAACTGGGGCTTCGCGAGGGGAAGCCTGCCCGCGCTAAAGATGTCGCGCCCGTCGCACCCGAGGTCCTGCCCCTGGAAGTCCGGACCCTGGATCTCCCGACGAATCTCCTCCCACCCCTCTATCTGGATGTCCTCGTAGATCTCTCGCAGGGGCGCCGCTGCCCTCCCCCTCGGCCTCGGACGCGTAGTTGCGAGCTTCTGACCGCGACGCTGGGAGAAAAGATACTCGGGCGCCTGAGAATGCTGCTCTTGATGGGATATGGTTCCGGAGATTGCGCCACAGGGCCGGGCCCCGATCCCCCCGGGGACCGACGAACTGGCCTGTCCTACTTGGCTAAACTAACTGCCCATGCCGGGCTCGCAGTAGATCGGGCTCGCGGACCTGCAACGTGCGAAGCGACGCGCCGGGGGTCGCCTGGCCCTCTCGGAATCGCCCAACACGATCTCATCATTCACCAGGTCTATAACTGCAGGAGGAGACTCGAGTCGACGCGCTGGGGGCAGCGCGCCGGGGGCAGCGGGGGACAACAACCAGGCAGGACCAGGAACTCTACGATGCCCCACTTCCAGATACTCACGGGGGCCCGAGCTCGGCCGACGGGGCCCGCTCTTCCTCCGACGCCGCTCGCGACCATTCCACTGACCGTGCCCTCCTGGACAAGGACGCGGAACCCTCGTTTCCCGAAGGCCTCTCGCATGATGACTAGATCCTCGGCTCCTACGAGCGCCTGTCCGGCCGCGGCGTCGACGAGAGCGCGATCGCCCACGCGTCGGGGCGAGAACTGCGCGCCCGAAACCTGGGGCGCGCACGTCAGAAGGTTCCAATCCGAGACCGCAATGACAAAGAAGATGTTTTCCTCTCAGTCGAATACACGAAACCCTCAGAAAAAAAGAAACGGTGCAATCCTCGAAGAGCGTCTGGGCGGTGGCATCTGGTTTCTTGGGCTTTTCTCCGGCCACGCGATCATATTTAGACGGGAGCGGGTTCTTGCGCGTTTCTGCCTCGTGCCCCCGCTCCCCGCAATTCGCGCGGCGAGGTCGTTTCTTGACGTCAGTCATCATCAAACCTTCGGAACCTGGTCTTGCGGCCCGGCGACGATCAAATAAATGCCCGTCGACCTTTCTTGCTGCCGTCGCGCGTCGGGCCCCCGCCCACGCCCCGCGCTTCTCCTCCCCAAGACGAGCCTCAGCTACTGCGGCGAAAATGTCCAAAACTTCCTTTTTCCCCCCAGACCTTGTTCTTCTAGAGTGGTCAGAAACGCGTCAACGTCCCCAGTCGGAAATCCCTCGAAGTCGTCGATTTCAGTCAGGTGCACCTCCCGAACTTCATCATCCGAACGAGCACTGCTGGGGCCTGTAGGGGCACTGACGGGGCCCCTCTCGGCCTGGAACGACTTCGCGATCGCCGGGTGCGAAGTGGGAAGCATGCTCTGCGTCTCCTTCGCATCGAGGAACAATATCGCTGCTCGTATGGATGCACAGTCTTACCCGCTGCAAGCGTTCTCATGTCTATCCGATTCTGTACTGACAGACAAGCCCCTTCCTCGAGGTAGCGTGCACGTACTTCGTCGGGCAGGACAGGACCAGATAATATATGTTTCTGCCTCTGGTATCTCCGAATCCCTGCGCAAGACGAAGTCGGTGATCTATTTTCCCAACGTATCATATAACTGAATAGGGCGGTGTTCTGGGCCACTCGCTGTCGGTCTCCTGGGCGTTCTCCACTCAACAACGAGAGGTGGTCCAGAAGCTTGCTCACACCATCATCCGAGTCGAGATCATGTCTTATGGTCTTGAAGCGGATCTGGAGCTCTACCGGGGATCCTTCTAGAAAGCGGCCAAGTCTGGTCGACGGGCGGAAGCCAATCCTCTTCGTCCATGCCGTGATGTTGTAGCGGTGCGTATCGATACTGTCGAATCCCAACCGCACGGGCGGCGCGCCGAAGTCACGATTCGGCACCTCCGCGCCCTGCCATGATCCCGACCAGAGCTCCACTCTACAATACCAGTCCGCCGCGGCCCAGGCCTCGGTGCGATCGGCCCAGTCCCACGAGCGCCGCAAATCCCAAGCATGCGCGGCCGACTGCTGCCACGAACCTTGTCCTGCTGGGGCCTCTTCGACTGGTGGTGGTGGCTCACCCTGCCGTTCTCTTGCCATGTCTCCCGGGTGCTGCTCGGCGTCAGCGATGGCTACGCCCATTCTCTCCGCGAGCCTCTCGGATGTACGCTCCGCTTACCACTGCCGCACACTGCAGGACATCTGTCGCGAAAGGGTCCAACGAAGGCGTGGCAAAGAGGGGGCGTATTTTCCTGCGCGGAGCTCCGCGCAAACTCTGAAACACGCGCTAAGCCTAAAGGCTACAGAAAGGATCCAAATGGAACGTGGACGCACACAGACGAGAATGCCCACTAGGGCCTTGGGATAACGCCTTGGTAATGGGCCTCTCCTTCGGGTGGGTCCCTGTGCCATAGATGTACTATTTGAGCTGAATGGTCAGACGTATCTTTCTGAACCAGCGTCCCTGGGGTACTCTATACGCTCTATGATATTGACGCTCACCTGCAGGGGAGTAAGATACAGACCAGGAAAACGAGGGAAAACGCAATCTATCTTAGACGTGCGTTGTAGCTCAGGATTGTAATGCGTCTCCACTTCCACCAAGGCTGATCGGACATGTTGCCAAGGAGAAAACTTCGGCCGTCGGTGCTCCTCGAGACCCGACTGCGGTTCGAGCGGATCGAAGAAGGCGGGCGGCACGCCCTGCTGAGGAGGCTCCGCAGCGTGCCGCCCGCTCTCCTTCCCTCCTTCTCCTCCTGTTCCTCCTACTCCTCCTCGTCCAACTCCGCCTCCTCCCACATCCCCCGAGCAAGCCGGCCTTGGCAAATCATGTCAACGATCCAGACACGTAGCGAACGCGGCCCATGCGAGAAAAATAGCATTTCACAGACGACTTCGCAACTCGTTTTTCCATGGCAACCCGTGCGACCTCCTGCCCGTGCCAGTACCGGCTGTCCCGCATGTCCTGCAAGCGGGCGGCGGTAAACTGTTGTGGCCTTCGTCCCCTGGACATCTCTGTGAGAGCCCCCCGAGATATGCGGGGCAATGCCCGGGGCCCGGGGGGGCCATCACTGATTAGGGAGGTCGCCACTTTCCCGAGGAAACGCCACTTCCTCTGGGCAGTGGGCCCCCAAGAACACTGCGAAGCGTCTAAAAAAACAGCCGTCCAAACATCTCCTCGAGATTCGATCCTGGAACCTCGATCCTCAGGACAAACTGGTACCCCCCCTACTAGTGAACCCCTGCCCGAGATGGATCCGTACCTCTCAAACAAATTCGCCTCAGTGACAGGATGCGCGACTTCGGTTTCTACCCGTCCTCGTCGGCCTCTCAGCGTGTTTTCTCCCCATCGGAAAGCAAAGACGCCATCAACCGCTAGCTTAACATGGTAAAACTCAGGGTTGCACACTGACAGCCCCTCCCCCCAGGCAGTCCCGGCTGAACTCAACAGGTCCCCCGAGTAGTCTGCTAGCCCAGGGCGATCTCAGCACCCCAAGGTTGGGGTGTTGAGACCGCCCCGGGCTGATCGGGGTGCCTGATGAGGCCAGCCAGGACTACGGGGGGGGGCTGTCTGTGCGCAGCCCGCAGCCCTCGTCTGTAGCGATCGGAGAGCAAGGGCACCCGCAACCGCTGGCTCGACTAGACTTGGTAGAGGATTGCTGTTCGGGGTGACAGACCATGCGGCGACCTCGGAATGCCCGAAGGCCTCACCGCACGGTCCGTCACCTCATGGCCTTGGGACCTCGGAGGCCCCAGCCGCCCGAAACGGTCCCAGAGAACGGCCCAACGCCCAAAACCGTGTGGCCACCCCGAATTCCCACCGACTCGCCACAGTGGTCGTCGCAACGTTTAGGGGAGGCCGACGTCTGGATCTTCGGTAATGTGCCGTGCTGAAGCGGGTCTGGGAATGTTGGGGCACGCGGGTGGGACTGGCAGGCGGTCGCCCCACCAGGGGGCGCGGGGCTTCAATTGGTGTGGCAGGGGGAGTGCTGCTTCGCGAGCTGGAAGGTGGGCGCGCTTTCGGACTTTAGGTTCGGACCCTTCCTGGTATTCTCACGTATCCCGCCGAACGGGCGTACAAATCCAAACGGACGAATCGTACGGGGGCTTCCTCGAAACAGATATCGCACCCGTGCTCTAATTGTACCACAAGGGTTCCAAACAACTGCTTTGCCCCCTGCGACGGGAACAGCCGACAAGGATAGCCGCCTCATGATGTGGCCGTCTGGACAGACAGCGCAGCCCTGCCCTGGCTCCTGTCCACCCTCGTGCGGGGCTCCTCCCTCGCCCTCCAGATGCTCGGAGGTGGACAGGGCCCCCTTTGTCAAAACACCCTCTGGTGCAACCGACCCTGGACCAGACCCGTCGGGCGCAGGCCCGCAAATATTTCGGCCGCATCGCCTCCCCTCTCTCTCTGTCTCGCGAGAGAGGGAGAGAAAGAGAGAGAGAGAGAGAAGGAGAGAGTTGGAACAGGGCAATTCGCGAATCCACTTGGCAGGGGGGGGGGGGGCTCAACCTTCGAGCTGCCCCTCCCCCTTCCTCTTGCCCCCTTCGGGTCCTGCATGGGGTCGAAGGACAGCACCCCTCCAGCCTCGAGCCCGACCCACAACAGGCCGTCGCTGGCGGCCGCCATGCAAACTACCTCTCCGACGCTCTTTCGTTCCTCCTCCTCCTTCTTCTCCTCCTCCTCTTCTCCCTCCTCCGCAAACCGCTAGCGACTTGAGCACACATGTCGCCGTTTTGTGTTACATCTACTTACATTTAATACGTGCATATTTGCATGTCTGCTTTTGTATATGTCTACTTATATATATACACACATATATAGATATGGAGGGCTCAGGAGCCATGAGCCGTCTCTGGGAGGCCGATGTTTACTTCCGCCACCTTCTGCCGACCTTCCACCGGCTCCCGCCGAGAAAGAGGTATCAACTCTCTCGATCCTCGAAGGCGAAGCCCTTTTTTGAAGGCCTCATGGGTATGCACGTTTTTGCTCGGTGTCCCAGGGCTGTTTCCGTACGCTGGGACCGTCCAAAGGCGGCTCGGGACGAGGAGCCCGGTCCTGGTACAGGGGGGGCGGAGACGTGCGGGGGCCGGTTGCTCGGACAAAACTCCTCTCGTTGGAAGTCTGGGCCCACCCCCGTTGAGACGAAGCCAGGACAGGGACAAAATCCGACAGGGATAACTCGGGGATCTCTGAGACCTGGCTGTCTGTATCGGGCGCCCCGGCCTTCCCAGAGCGTTTCCAAACGCTCTGGAAGAACTTATGCCTGTCCTAACCCCGCCCGGCCCGCCCCTCTCGGGTGGACGCTGACATGGACTAGGGATCCGTGGATCTGGCGCGTAGGCGCCACATGGTCCACGGATCGGGGAAATTGCCCCCAAGAGCGTGCAGAAGCAGTCCCGCACGGTTCGGCGACGGAGCGCGCCGATTCTGTGCGGAGAAACCGGACTCTTCGCTAATCCACATGGCGCTAATCCATGTCATCGCTCCCTCTACCTTTTTCTTCGTCCCTGCCTTCTTGCTTAGCTCCATCCACCTGGAAGTTGCCAAACGGGTCCCTGGCCCAAGGTGCCCTCAGGATTTCCAAGGAGGCCCCGCGGCTTCCCCAGAGAACCCCAGACGAGGCCCAGGGGGAGCCCCATAGGGTTCCAAAATGGAGCGCAGAGCTTGAGACACGATGGGCCAGGACATGGGAACTACCAGACTTACTCGGAAGGGTCCCGACAAGGGACGGGGAGGACGGCATTCATACCCGGGCCACACACACCCGAGGTCCCTCCCCCCAGGACCCGCCCCGACCCCCCTCCCATGACCCGCCCAGGATCCCCCCCCCGTGGGGAAGGGATCAAAGGAAGGGGGCTTCCCTTCGAACCGATCAGAAGGGACCCGACAGGGAACGGCGAGGACGGTATTCTGACCCGGGGCTCCGGCCCCAGAGGCTCCCAACATAGGGCCTGGCGCCCCCTAGACGGAACCCCAATGCAGCCAGAAGAAGGGGTGAGTCCGCCAAAGGGCCGTCGCTTTCGGCGAGGGGCCTCGCCTGCCGCCAGACTTCGGGGCGCGCTGGCACGAGCTGAGGCGAGGTGGACAAGGAGGAGGACTCTGGACTCTGGGCTCTGCGCTTAGGGGGCAAGTGTGCAACAGATCTCGCGAATGCTAGCCTCTGCGGGCGCTCTCTGAGCGCGCCTGCGACCCCTCATCCAGGCTGATGTCACAGGCCTACCGCGCGCCCATGTGTACACAGCGGTAGACGGGAGCTGCGGGTCCAGCACTGGGGAAAATCCCGCGCTCAATATGGTAGGCCAGTAATGCGAGACGAGGGGCTGCCTTGGTGGATCGAGGAGGAGGAAGGGGGGGGAACTTTTGCTTCGCGTGCTATGCCCCACATGCTGACAGCGTGTCGCTCTGCTTCGCAGTGCGGAAGGCTGGGGCAACTTCGGGACGATGACGTTCAAGGACCGGGACGTGGCTAGCGCAACGCGCCTAAGCATGGTGGGCCAGAATCGGCGGCGTGGCACGCTGAGCAAGCGTACCCGACCGTAAACCCAGGATGTATCAGCGATGCTGCAATCATGTGGACATACACGATATGATATACCATTACAAGAACTGCTCGCCTGCGTGAACCCCTGGGAATATGTGTTGCGCAATGTAGGCCGTGTAATCTGGAGCGAGAGAGAGAGAGAGAGAACAAACAAAAAAACAGAGAGAGAGAGAAAGAGAGAAAGAGAGAGAGAGAGAGAGAACGCGCCCGAAGGAAGCGCACTCCCAAAGAGGGGGTCATCCCTGAGCTACATCCCCGCTTGGACCTGCCCTGCGGGAAACCCCGCCCCTCCCCCCCTCTTTTTTCCGCCCCTCGGAAGCTATCCACCCCCCTCCCTCTCGCGCTCCGGAAGCTGCCCCCCCCTCCCTGTCCAAAGGGGGGCGTAGCACACCCCCCCCCCACCTTGAAACTCCCCTGCCGGAAAAGCACCCCCCTCCATCCTATTTTTCCGCCTCTCGGAAGCTAACCACCCCCCTTCACCCCTGTCACGCTCTGGAAGCTAGCCCCCCCTTTCCAAAGGGGGTGGATGCTTAGCTACCCCCGCCTCTGAATCTCCCCTGCCGGAAGCCCACCCCCCCCCACTTTTCGGTTCAAGGGAGGGAGGGAGCTCCCCCCCCCCCTTGGCTAAAGAAAGGAGCGCCGAAGACCAAAAGAGCGCCGAAAACCAACAGAGCGCCGAAAATTAAAGAGCCACCGAAACCCAAAAGTGTGCGAAAACCAGAGGGCGCCGAAAACCAAAGAAACGCCGAAAACCGAAAGGGCACTGAAAACCAAAACGGCGCCGAAAACTAACGATGCGCCGAAAACCAGAAAGGAGCACCGAAACCCAAAGGAGCGCCCCAAACAAAAAGGGGCGCCGAAAACCCAAAGCGCGCCGACAACCAAAATGGGGCAGAGAACCAAAGGAGCGCCGAAAACCAAAAGAGTGCCGAAAAGCTAATGGGCGCCGAAAACCAAAAGGCGCAGAACATCGAACGAACTCCGAAAACCAAAGAGGCGCCGAAAACAGAAAAAGGCTCCGAAAACCAGCGGGGCGCCGAAAACCAACGAGACGCCCAAAACCAAAAGAGCGCCGACAACCAGAGCAGCGCCGAAGACCAGAAGGGCGCCGAAAACCAAAAAGCACCGAAACCCCAAAGGGCGTCAAAAACAAAACGGTCGCCGAACTTGAAAAGGACGCCAGAAACCACAATGGCGCCGAAAACCATTTGAGAGCCAAGAACCACAGGGTCGTCAAATACCACAAGGATGCCGAAAACCAAAGAAATGCCGAACACCAAATGAGCGCTGAAAACCAAAAGGGCACCGAAGACCAGAACGGCGCCGAAAAACCGAAGGAGTGCCGAAAACCAAAGGGTCGCGCGAAAACCACAAGGGCGCCGAGAACCAAAGGAGCGTCGAAAACCGAAAGGGCTCCGAAAAGCAAAGAAGCGCCGAAAACCAAGGAGAACGCCGAACGCAAAAAGGAGCGCCGAAAACAACAAAAACGCACGAAACCACAAGGACACCGAAATCCAAAAGGACACCGAAAACCAAAGGAGCACCGAAAACCAAGATTGCGCCGAAAACCAAAGAGGCGCCGAACACCCAAGGGGCGCCGAAAACCAAAACAAACGCCGAAAACTCAAGGGGCACCGAAAACCAACGATGCGCCGAAAACGAGAAAGGCAAGCACCGAAAACCAAAGTGGCGCCGATAACCAAAAGGGCACCGAAAACGAAAGAGGCGCCGAGAACAACTGAAGCTCCGAAGACGGACAGGTCGCCGAAAACAAAAAGGGCGCCGAAAGCCAAAGGGGCGCTAAAAAACCCACGGAAAGCTGAAAACGAAACAAAGGGGCGCCGAAAACCAAGGAGGCGCCGAAAACCAAAGGAGCGCCGAAAAACAACGATGCGCCGAACCAAACGGGCGCCGAAAAACCAAAGACGATCCGATAACCAAAATGGCGTCGAACACCAAATTGCGCCAAACACAAATGGCGAGCAGATAGCCGAAAGGAGCCCAAAAACAAAGGGGCGCCGGAAACCGAAGAGCGCCGAAAAACACGAAAACTAACAGGGTGCCGAAAACCGAAAAGGCACCGAAAACCAAGAGGGCGCCGAAAACCAAAGGAGCGTCGGAACCCCAGTGGGCGACGAAAACCAATGACGCGCCGAAAACCATGAAAGGTGCGCAGAAAACGAAAAGGGTGTCGAACACCAAAGAAGCGCCGACGACCACATGAGCGCCGAAAGCCATGAGGGTGCCGAAAAACCAAAGGAGCGCCGAAAACCAAGGAAGCGCCAAAGGCCAAAAACGCGCCGAAAACCAAATGCGCCGAAAACCAACGAGACAGTGAAAACCACAAGAACGCCGCAAACCAAATGGGCGCCGAAAACCATAAGAAAAGTAGCTTAGAACCCCCTCTTCAGCCAGGGCCCTCCCGCTGGAAACACCAACAGAAGGGGGGAGGGGCGGAGCTTCGGAAGTCCCCCCCTTTTGGAAAGGGGGGCCCAGGCTTACCCCAGGCCCCGACAAGGAAAGGGGGGGGAAGGGCTTCCAAGCCCCCACCCCCCTTTAGCCATGGACCTCCCAGCTACAACATCCAAATAAAAGGAAGGGTGCGGGGGGTAGCTTCGAAAGCCTCCCCCCTTTTGAAAGGGGGGCCAGAGCTGACCCCGAGCCCGGTTCAAGCTTCCAAGACCCCGAAAGGAGGGACGGGGGGGGCCAGCTTCCAAGACCCCCCCTTTAGCTCGGGCCCCCCCCCAACTAAAACAAAGCTATAAAAAAGGAGGGGAAGGGGGGGCATCTTCAACCCCCCCCGCTTTTCCAAGGGAGGGGGGGGGCTTGAAGCTGGGGCCCTCCTTTCAATGAGGAGTGCGCCACGAGCGCGCTCTTTCGCAACTTATGTGGCAAAACATGTGTTGTGCAACATGTTGCGTGCAACCTATGTGAAACGCCTGTTGTGCAATAGGTTGTGCAACCAATGTTGCGCAATCTAAGTGTGTACAATCCGTTGCGTACAATCGACGAAGTGCAACATATGCTCTGTAAACGATTTGGTGCAATGTATGGTACGTACCAACTGTGATGCAACATCTGGTGTGCGATGTAT